TTTGACTGGAATATTTAAGCTATTTGCATTTAAAGTGATTATTGATATGTACATATTTATTGCCATTTTGCCTTTTAACTGTTTTGCTCTCTCTCTTTTTTTAAACCCTTTATTCTTAAGGAAGGGCCTTTAACATTACTTGTAATACTGGTTTGGTGGAAACAAACTCCTTCATCTTTTTCTTGTCTGGGAAATTTTTTATTTCTCCTTCCATTTTAAATGATAGTCCTCCTGGGTAAAGTAGTCTTGGATGTAGGTCCTTGCTTTTCATCGCTTATGATATTTTATGCCAATTTCTTCTGGCCTGCAATGTTCTGGTTGAGAAATCAGCTGACAGTTTTATGGGCACTCCCTTCCATGTAACTAAATGCTTTTCACTTGCTGCTTATAAGATTTTTCTCTTTGTCTTTAACCCTTGGCATTTTTAATTATCATGTGTCTTGGTGTCAGCCTCTTAGGGTTCATATTGTTTGATACTCTCTGTGTTTACTGGACTTGTCATTTTCCTTCTCCAGGTTAGGAAATTTTTAGTCTTTATTTTCTAAAATAATTTCTCATTCCCTTGCTCTTTCTCTTCTCCTTCTGGTTCTCCTATGATTCAGATGTTTTATGGTTTATGTTGTCCCAAAGGTCCCTTAACTATCTCCATTTCCTAAAATTCTTTTTTTTATTTTGCTGTGCTAATTGGGTGTTTTCTACTACCTTGTCTTCCAAATTACTGATTCAGTCCTTTGTTCCATCCAACCTACTGTTCATTCCTTCTAATATATTCTTTATCTCAGATATTGTATTCTGCATTTCTAATTGATTCTGTTTTTCATTTTTATGTCCTTTTTTTAATGCTTGCTCTCTGTATTGAAGTTCTCACTAAGTTCCTTGGGCATCCTTCTAACCATTTTTGAACTCTATCTGATAAATTGGTTTGCTCCATTTCATTTGGCTCTTTTTCTACAGATCTCCTTTAGATCTTTCTTTTTTTAATTCAATCGGGGCATGATTTTTTCTCTCTCCATTTTGGCTGACTGTGTTTCTTTCTATATATTAGGCAGATCTGCTATTATTCACAGTCTTGGTAAAGTGGCCTAGAGAGTGGGTATCTTGTAGGACCCAGTGGCACGGTCTCCTTAATCACCTGAGCTGGGTGCTCCAGGAACATCCCTTGTGTGGGTTATGTGTGCCCTCCTATTGTAATTGAGGTTGATTGCTATTGATCCATTTGTGTGTGGGGTCCGCTCTCAGGCTGGCTGTCTGTGAGGATCAACCCCAGCCACAGTGTATGAGCTGCTATGCAGGTGCTGATCGTACAAAGCAGAATTCGCCTTCACAGGGTATGGTGCCTGCTAAGATCTCCCTTTGAAGATCTTCGTGCTGCTCATGAAGCTTATTGAATTCTGTTTGGATGTTGTCTGAAGCTGATCACTGGGTGTGTTGGTTTAGGGGCTTCTCGGGAGGTACGCTGGTGCATTCCAATATCGGATGCTTCCTGTGACTGGCCCTAGACAACCTGTTTAAAGGTACAAAGTGATCCATAGTTTGTGGCTTCCTGTGCTGGGACTGCGTGTGTGTGGGAATTACCAAGCTCTGTGTCAAGGCTAGCTTTAACCAGTACCAGCACCAGGGGCAAGTCAGCAAAATTTGCAAAGCACCTTGAGATCAGCCTCCATCTGCCTCTGACTACCAGCGGCCTTATAGGCTGCCACTGAAAGAGCTTCTGGCCAAACTCAGGTTCCATGCGGTAGCATCTCAGTGAGTCACCAGGTAGAGAGGGGTGAGTGGTGTTCATCAGACTGATGCAGATTCAAACTCAATGCCAGTGGTTGGTCTGAGGCCACTTAGCAAATATCCCAGGGTATACCAAGTCTACCTGCTACCTACTGGGTGCACATAGAATTTTGTGGTGCAGGTGGGTCCCACGGAGTCATCGGGGTGAGGCTAGCAGAGCTCACTGTGCTCAAATAGACCAGGATTTGGCCACAAGAAAGGAAGGCTCTGTACCAGTTGGGCATGCAAGGGAAAAAATGGTCCCTGTCCTAGAGCCACACTACTTAATCTGACCAAGATCTTGCCAGGATCCTGAGTTTAAAAGGGCAGGGCTGAAGGCAATGGGGATGGTAGGGCTGGCTAGTAGATCTCATGTGAGTGAAAGGTGCTAGTCAGGCTTTGGAGAAGGTGGGAGGAGTGGCCTCTGCCCCCAGAGCCACACAACTCAGTCTGTCCCAAGTTTTGCCATGTGAGTGGGTCAAGGCCACCAGGAGTCAAGAAGATGGGACTACCTGGAACCCTGAGGGTGAAGCTAGAGGATCTCTCATAAGAGGGTTCCAGGTTGACAGGATTTTGGGCAGAATGGCCCCTACCCCAAAGTTACACCACTCAGTTACTGATAGCCCTGAGTCTGCCCAGACCTCTACATGCTTGTTCAGGTAGCTGACAACTCAGCAGGGCATGAATTCTGGAAGATAGGGTGACAGGGAGTCCATAGAGTGGGGATATTGCATTTTCCTCAGTGGAGGGGAGTGGTTCATGTGGCATCTGTGATGTGGAAGAGCGACTCAGCACAGGAGGCCTGGGGACTCTCCCTGGAGCCACAAACCCCAGCCTCTTCTCACCAAACTCCAGTTCACTCTGCTCTCCCTTCCCTGGAGTCCAGGCTGAGTTGTTGCAAATGGGAAAAAGTGCATTAGCCCATTATGAAGGTGCTTGTGCCTCTAGCAGACTCCTGTCTCTCCCTGGCAGGCAGAATTCTCACTGATTTTTACAGCCAGGTGTTATGTTGGTACCTTTTACCAGCTCTGTTGCTCTGGGCTGAGAAACCAGTGTGGAATTGGGGCCCCACATTTCTCAGGGGCAGTTTCTGCAATCTGAGTTACCCCTCCAGAATCCCAGCTGCCGCCAGTGGGAGCAGGGCCACCCTTTTTGGCATCTCCGACCTTCCTACCAGTCTTGATGTGGGTTTTTCTGTGAATCCTTGGTTATGAGACTTCAGCTAGTCTTCAGTTGGTTATTCAGGCTGATTGTTCTATATTTTAGTTGATGCTGAGAGGAGAGCCACCTAGTTCACTGCCATCTTGGATCTCCCCATTCACACTATTTGTTACTACTCTACTTTTATCCATTTCATGCCATATCTAAAATTATTTCCTGTCAAGTAATTTTATTCAGAAATAGATTACTAAACCATGCTCTTCAGCATGTCTTCCAAATTCTTCTAAGGTTGGTTCAGAAGTTTTGTTGTAGCAAAGCAATTATATAGCTTGGGCTGGAGTACAGCAAATGGGTATTGCTTGCTTCAGAGTTATTTAATTAGCTGAGGTTGAAATACAAAGTTTTAAAAATACATATTAAAGTTACAATTTGTAGAGTATGGTAATGCAAATGAGTTATAAATCAAGTAGATCATGGAATACAGTTTAAGTCCTGGAACAGAAAACTAGAAAAATGACATCCAGAATTGGCAGATAGAATAACACTTCCAGTTCTGAAACACGTTTGAACAGATAATATAATCTGATTTGACTGTTTGGACACATGGTGGTTTAAATTGACCAGTGCCAGATCATTTGGTTAACTGAGGGTCTAAGAAAAAATATGGTTTGATCATATACTATTTCCTGATTTGGAGAGAATGATTTCACCTCACAAATATTGGCTGTCAGTGGGGTCCTCGTCAACTGTTTCTGAGGTCATTTCAAATTCTTTTAATGTTTAATTTTATTTTATAGGTTCAGTGCTTCTCTTTTCTCTTCTGTCACTTTGTGTTAATAATATGTCCTCTTTTTTTGGCTATCAACTGGATGTAATACTTCTCTTAATGAAAGCTGACTTATCTTTTCCCCCTTAAGAGCAGTAAAAAACATGTTCCAATCAGTGTCTGCTGAGGCATTTTATCACAATTGGGAAATCAGGGCCTATGGGTTAGCCACTCTCCTACGGTGCAAAGAGGCAAAGAGCTAAAACATTGCCTGCCCTGTTTTCTGTATTAGTACATGTCTTTGTTAGAACAGATAGTCATAGGAACCATAAAAATGTGTAGAGATAGCTCATTGTTTCTTCAGCATCAAAACTTAAAAAGAAATAGCAAATGATATTTTGAAAATGGATGAATATATTGTTTTGCCAGAATAAAATGATCAATATTCTTTAAAGTTTTCCACCAGACAATTAATGGCTTTATTAGAGATATTCCTAGAGCAGGCATGTGCTTTGCAACATAGCTAAATCCATTAGGCAAAGAGAGAGGCAGGATCAGAGCCACAATACCAAAGATTGCATTTTTAATATAATGGAATACAGATCAGGCAGTATTGAAATACTCAGCTTTGAGGTTTGTCAGTGGCTACGTTACAGTTGATAGAGATTATCAATCATCTTCAGTGAAATTACATGAAATGCTCCTCAGCAATCTACTCTATAACATATAGGCGTTCCGTAATTTCTTTCTATAGCTTGCAAAAATGGAAGAATTTCTTGAAAACGCATGCATACTACTTTGCCATTTTTTTTACTTTGATTCATTTAATGGAATTCTAATCCCAGTATTTTAACAAACACTCTGTACTGTTTTCATTGTCCTGCAACTACATCTTCAATTTAAAATATTTTTGTTTTAGAAAATAAGGGGTTTGGGACCTAAGAGTCGTGGTAGGAAAATGGAGGCAACTGTACTTGAACAGCAATAAAAAAAAAGAAAAGAAAAGAAATTACAGATATATTAAATCCTTCTTAATCAAAGTCACTTCTGTATTTGCCTGTTTAATATGTTAGACTTTAAGAAGGTTTAAGTTAGATTCAAAGGAAGCAGGTTTTCAGACAGTCTATCCTTTAAATGTTGGTTGTTTAGATACTTTCTGAGCCTTCCAACTTGTGTTTTAAGAGGTTAGTGTTACGTACCTTTTCATAAATACAACTGTTACATTAAAAAAAAAGATCTCTTATTGCAATCAGTTGAGGAGGGGAGAAATCAGACTTCAGTAAGACATGGATATCAGGGCAGAAGGATTCAGCTACCAAAGCCCAGGGAGCAACATCACCACACCCATCAGAGGAAATGTCATTGAGTCAGTTGCCGCTGTACATCCTGCTCCTGCTGTATCTAAGGTGTTTCCACCGTCTGTTTGATGGATTTGCTTTACGTCACTGAGGTTCATCTCATCTGGCATCCCTGCAGAGGCAAATAAGAAAACAGAGGATGATGCATAACTACCGTCACCATCTGTCTAGAACAGCTCTTAAACCCAAGTGTGGACACCACTGTTTTTTCCATAGTATTCTCTGTGTTCCCCGAGCTCTAAATGGTTAATGTGATGCAGGTACTTCTGTTTTTCTTAAGTTGGGAAGTCCAGGCCCTTGAGTGGGAGTTCTCAGAAATATAAGAGCAAAGTGAAATGCTTTTTTTTTTTCCTCCAAGCTTCTTAAACCATCTGCAATATTTCCCTAATGTCATTGAGTGATATAAAAGTAAAGAAACTTAATTAAAATGTCATGAGCAATGGCATTAGTTTTTGTCCCAGAGATGTAACAACTGTGGTAATTATGTGAAACCTTTCTCTTGAAAATAAAACAATATAAGGATAAATAATTAAATAGGGCATTTTTTTTGCAGGATCCTTACTGGAAATATATCAAAGAAGAATAATGAATATTAAATGATATCTTTTATATGCACACGCAACTTTGGGGGTGGAGGTGTAGACATCTGCCAATAGATCAAAGAATCTGTTAACAAGATGACTTGGAGATCAAAGTCAGATGTGAAAGTGTTTGATTAAAAAAAAAAAAAGTGGGCAATATTGACCAAGATCCAATTATCCTGGTTTTTCTTCTTTGTGTTATGTAAATGGAAAATTACTGGGGATGAAATAATCATTTTCTTTAAAAAGTTTGCTATACTATACCTAAGGAATTACCAACTTGCCATTTATTATCTAGTGATACCATGTCCTGAGACCATGTAACTCTGAACTATCCCGTGGCATGACACTATCAGTCACAATTAAGTTTAAATTCAATGTTGCTACAGCCACAAATATTGACATCGTAATTACAGTGAGAATGAAAAAAAAAACTTCATATGAAGAAAAGTAAGTATTTATGTAATTAGGCCAATACATATCTATATAGTTTAGCAGATACGCTCTGTTGCATTCTGAGCATTAAAACCAAGTGCAGCTCTACTGATCTGCCATATTGAGTTTCAGTCTGAGTTCTTGTGTTATTATTCATTGTTTGGGTACTAGTTTTGCCCTTCTGTGCCATTGGGCAATATGAATAAACTAGTGATTCATTTTTTTTATAGGGACTGGAGTAGAGTGTAAATATTTCAGTCATCATTTTATACTTCTTGTTATGGTAGAGCTTAACAAGGATTTATGAGGACTCTATGCAATTAAACATTTTTTTCCACGATTACTATATAAATTTGAGCTTTAAGAGATTTTTTTTTCTTTTTTAAAGCACTGTAAAGAGCTGCCTGGATTGTATTCATGAATAAATTTTTTGACACCTTCCCGAGCTGGTATTTTTCTCATTCATTCGTGAGCCAGGCGCTGGTCCAGGTGATACCATCATGAGTAATCATAGTAAGATGTTAAATCTTATGCTTGCAAGTTAGGCAATGCCAGGGATGACATCTCTCTTTCAATCTGATGTCATTTTAACATCTGAGGGAGAGATGTTACTAATAAATAAATATAATAGTGCTAAGGAAGACGGTCTCTGAGGTAAGATTTATATGCAAAGGACTGAAGATCCCTTCAAGAGCCCGAAGTCAAGGCTACGGTTTTAAATCAAATCACAACCTGGCCTTAACATCTGTTAAGAAATCTTAGCATGCCAGCAAGGTGAGCCCCACAATTATGTGATGTAAGATTGTCTTCTTAAAGGAATTTAATTAACAAGGTTTGTAAATTATACCAAACCTAAACCAAAGACATGTAAAGGAAAAATAAATTTGGGAATTTATTCAATTAACAAATTAAACAGAAACAAATGAATCTTGGAAAAATCTTTTCTATGCATAGTAGCCAATCAATTCCTACTTCTTCCCTTGGTGTTAGGGGAAAATGGTCACATTATTACACAATTAATGTAATTTAAATCTTGGGTACATGCCTGATAGCTGGTACAATGAAGTATATAAAAAGAATGTAACTTGGTAAGGGAAGGCTCCACAGAGGAAGTGTCGATATGGATTTACTTAGCAATATTTACAGAGCACTTGCTATGATGCTAGTACTGTTCTAAGTATTTCACGAATATTAACTTGTTTAATTCTCACAACAGTTCCATGTAGTGGGCCTGAAAGGCGAAGGGACATTTGAACAGTGGAGTGCGGTGTCACATCCAGTCTGGATCCAGCCTATGCTGTGGTCACCTGCTGTGCTGACCCCAGGCACTTGGCTGGACACCAAGAAATCAGTACTGCATTTGGGATCAAAGAAGGGCAATTATGTTTGCCCTGCGAATTTCAGTAGGGGAATTTTTTTCTCCTTCCGTGTTCTGGAATGGCTGATTATGTGCTAGTTTTGCGTATTCATCAAGCAACTGGAACTATTCAAAGTTAGAATTCCTGTGGGGGAGTAAAGGATGATGAGTCACTATGGCTTGATGAATCGGAGAAAATTAAAACTGCTTTTGTCATGGATTCTCTGGCTTTTTCCTTGAAGCAGGGAGTGTGGGTATTTCTCCCTGGCTGTCTAAATAAATATTTCAAAAATTATTAGTTTCACTAAACAACAAAGACTATGTTTAAAGATAATTTGTTGTCTATATATTTTAATGCTCATCTGAGGATATGTTTATTGATTTGAGAGAGAGAGAGAGGAGCAGAGGAAAGAGACTAGAGAGAAGACAGACAGAGAGCAAGAAACTTTGATCGGTCATCTTCTGAACGTGCCCTAACCTGGAATAGAAGCCACAACCTAGGTATGTGCCCTGACTGGGGATCAAACCAACAACCCTTTGGTGCATGGGACCGTGCTCCAACCAACTGAGACACCCAGCCAGAGCTGTTTTCTGTCTTTTAATTTTGTCATTCATCAAATTTACCCACTTCTGTCTCTGTCAGGTACTGTGCTGGAGACTAAACATATACTGTGCATTAACAGGTTTTTTTTCCTTCATCCTTAAGAGCCAAACAAACAAACAAACAAACAAACCCCTATCAGATGTCTTTTCCACCATTGGTGAAAGTATAGAGCAGATTTGAATGTGAGGAGCCAGACTAAAGTTAATCATTTGAATTCAATAAACTCAAAATAATTGACCTCTAGAAATTATGTTTTCAAGGTAGCGATAATCAGGACACCACAAAAAATGCCTATTACATTGTATGCTTTTAATGAATATCATTGAACGGATACATTGAATAATGACTGTCATTCTCACAACAGTAGGATGTGTTAGGAACAATTATTTTTCCTCATTCTACAGATTAGAAACAGGTGCAGAAGAAATAATTTACTCTAGGTAACATACTGTGGCTGAATCCCAGGTATGTCCTGTCAGAGGCAGTTCTCTCTGATGCCAGAGCCATGCTTATTGCCACCGCAGAATCAGGGCATTGCATTTGCAGTCAAACTCTGCTTTGCCACACATTGGCTGGGTGACTTCAGACATGACCCCCGTTTTTCAGAACTTTGAAGTGAGAGCATTTTCAGTGAGAGAAGGGTCAGTCCAAACACAGTCCTGGCTCAATTGCTTAAATAAATATTTGAAAATGAGCTGTATTTTTATTTCACAGAATCCCTAAAGTAAGTGACTATGGGACCAAAGATTTAAATATAAATAATGAGGCAGCCAACAACATACATCAGTTGCTATTTTTATTTATGTTTAGGTGAAGGAAAGCCTATTGATTTTTTTTAGGCAGAATCTATAAAACATGATCAGTAGTTTTAACTTCATAAAAAATAACTTCTCTATACCATGGAAAAAGCGAGTAAGTAAAAAAAAATGGAGAAAAAAATGCAGTGTATATAGCAGCGAAAAATAGTGTCTGTAATATAGAAAGAGTTACCACAATCCATATGTAAATGATAAGTACTGACAGAAAATTGTGAAAGGGAATAGACGAAAATTTATATAAAAGAAAGTGAAGCATTCTTTACTGGAATGCTGATAAATAGTCTTATGCATGATGAGTTATCAATTATTTCATGTCCAGTTGCTAGAGGCATGGCAGAGAGATGATAGCCAGTTTTGAAAGGGATAGAACCCCTTTTTAAGGAAGGTGGCCAAAATATATAAAAGCTGTTTAAAACGCATGTTTACCTAGACCCAGGAATTATACTTTTATGAAGTAGTTCTATGGGATTAAGAAAACATGCACATACATATTCACAAAATGTTAACCTGTGCATTGTTAGTGAAAAAATCATAGCCATTCAATGTCCATTAATGCATCAACTTATTTATTTATTTCTAAACATAGGTTTACTTGGCAAGGAAACAGGCAGGAGTCTGTAGATGAAGGGTTTTTGTTTTTCCTTACTGGGGTGACACTGGTTAATAAAATCACATAGGTTTCTGGTGTACAGCGCTATGATGCATCATCCATATGTTGTGTACTGTGTTCACCATTCCCGAATCAACTCTCGTTCCATCACCACTTTATCTCCCCTTTACCTGCTTCTGTCTCCTCACATCCCCCTTTCCCTCTGCCAAGGACCACACGGTGGCCTATCAGCTTTTCTTTCTTCTTCATCCCATCACCTTTTTCAGCCCGCTCCCCTGTGGCAGCCTTGTCTGTTCTCCGTATCTATGTGTCTGTTTCCCCTTTTTCTATCTCCTTGCCAACACTTGTTTGTTGATTTATTGTTGATAGCCATTCTGGCAGGTATGAGGCAATATTTCATTGTGGTTTTGATTTTCATTTTCTGATGATTAGTGATGCTGAGCATTTTTCCATATGTCTATGGGCCATCTGTATGTCTTTTTTAGATAAGTTTCTATTCAGGTCCTTTGCCCATTTTTAATTGGATTATTTGTTTTTTTGGTGTTGACTTTTATAAGTACTTTATAAATTTTGGAAATTAACCCCTTATCAGTTGTGTCATTAGCAAATGTGTTCTCCCTTTCAATGCGTGGTCTTTTTACTTTGTTGATGGTTTCCTATGCATCCACTTATTTAAAAAATTCAAGAAGTAGATGCTTAATTGGTAC